GGTAAGAGGTGCACATGTGTAGTCATGGGTAAGAGAGGTACACACATGTAGTCAGGGGTAAGAGGTGTACATATGTATTCAGGGGTAAGAGAGGTACACACATGTAGTCAGGGGTAAGAGAGGTGCACATATGTATTCAGGAGTAAGAGGTGCACATGTGTAGTCATGGGTAAGAGAGGTGCACACATGTAGTCAGGGGTGAGAGAGGTGCACACATGTAGTCAGGGGTAAGAGAGGTGCACATATGTATTCGGGGGTAAGAGGTGCACATGTGTAGTCAGGGGTAAGAGAGGTGCACACATGTAGTCAGGAGTAAGAGAGGTGCACATATGTACCACATCACACAGGCGGAGGTCAGAGAGCAACTTGTGGGTGTCAGTTCTCTCCTTCTGCCATGTGGGGTACAAGAATGGAACCCTGGTCATGAGACGGGGCAACAGGCACCCCTCCAGCCCTTTGTTTCTTTTTCCTTCCCCATCTCTGAGAATGAATCCCCATGTTAGCTGAAGATGGCAGTGAAGGTGAGCTGTCATATGAGACACCAAGGACCATAAGTGGTTCTACTGTACCCCAGTTCTTAGGACAGGTGGGAGGCAGGGGGAGGAGATCTGGAGTCTCAGTGTAGGGGAAGAAGAAGGGGGGGTGACAGTGGTGATCACACAGCAGCACGAGTGTGTCACTAAAGTTGGAACTTGAAAGAGGAAATTTTATGTTACATATACTTGACTACAATTTAAAAGCCAACCCTGAGCAAGGCCTCAAGAGGGACTTGGAGCTAAGCCGCCTGCAGCTTTCCCTCTGCGCCTTCAGTCACAGCACAGCCCTGAGGACCCTTCGTCCAGGCTCCTGGACAAAGAACACTTCACCTGCGCTCAGACCCGGAGGCCTAGCATCTTCTTGTCAACCCTGCTCTTTCTTATGGCCGCAGGACCCGTTAGAACTGCAGAGCAGCGACAACCGGAATGGCATCAGCTGTTGGTTCTGTACCTACATCAGTCATTAAAATCAGCTGTGTGATTTCTGTCTGTCTCAATGGGCCTAAAAGGAAAGTAGGACGATAGTAGCCAGTCCCCACAGAGATACTGGAGGTGAATGTGCTTTGGGAAGTGTGTACAAACTTGTTTTGCTGTCTTGTTCCACCTTATCACACAAAAAATATCTCAACCATAAGAAGGAAGCGGTTACCTGAAAATAAAGAGGCAGCCTGCAACGTTCAGGCAATACAACTTCAGCTGGGCTCCTTCGGCCATCACCCTGGCAAAGACAGAAGGAAACCCTCTCCTGGTCTGCACCAGAAAACCCTCTTTTTGCCAGGACACTTACGTCTCCATGATGGAGTGGGTTGTTTGTTTGTTTGTTTTTGTTTTTTTAATATTTTTATTTATTTATTATGATACAGTATTCTGTCTGTATGCTTGCAGGCCAGAAGAGGGCACCAGATCTCATTACAGATGGTTGTGAGCCACCATGTGGTTACTGGAGCCATCTCTCCAGTCCCCTGATGGAGTGTTTTGATTTTGGTGTTTTAGAAACATTTTTGAGGGGCCGGAGAGATGATTCAGAGGTTAAAAGCACTGGCTGCTCTTCCAGACGTCCTGAGTTTGATTCCCAGCAACCACATGGTGACTCACAACCACCTATAATGAGATCTGGTGCCCTCTTCTGGCTATAGGCATACATGCAGGCAGAATATATATAATAAATAATCTTTAATATACATGTATATTTGATGATAATGATGAGTATGGTTGCTTTGCCTTTATATTACTTTGTATGCCATGTGTGTGCTTGGTGTCTGTGGAAGCCAGAAGAGCGTGTTGGATCCCCAGAAACTCGAATTACAGGTGGTTGTGAGCCACCCCGGGGGTGCCGGGAACAGAACATCTCTCAGGCCCACCACTGGCTTTTATTCTGAGCCAGTGTCAGGTCTGCCGACAGGTTGCCCATCATAGCATTCTGATCAGACACCGAGAGGGGCCTCGGCAGAAGCATGGCTGGGAGCAGAGTCTGACAAACAGGTCAAGAGGAACTACACCCCCAGAACTGCACCCCCAGAACACATGTTCACAAGTGCCACCTCCTGATGACGCCCAGAGCACACTAACACGCTGTCAAAAACTAGTGAGGGGGAAAAAAATGCCAGCAACATCACGTGGTTAGACCGCAAAGCTCTTGAAAATGTGGTCTCAAGGTGGCTCTCATTGGTAGTGCTGGCTGCCCTTCAGTCTGCCCACCAGCTGGGTTTACTGCCCTGGCTGTTTCCACAGGGTGTAGGAGGCAGCTTTTCTCTTCAGTAAAAGTTCTTCTTCCCTTCAGAGCCAAGAAACAAGTTCAGATCACCTCGACCCAAATGAATGCCAAAACTCCATTCCTCCCCGCAGGCACTCCTGCATTGTTGTGACCCTCTGGTCCTCTTCATAGGAGAGACTGGTCAATATGGAGCCTTCCAGAGAAAGGTTCTGGGCCTGGTTTCAGCAAACAATACTCAGGACTTGTCCCACACCTCACAGGGCCCCAGCTCCGTGCAGATGGAAGTCATCTGGTTGAGGCCCTGTGCTGACTTCACCAATAATGACGTTATCCTTGTCCACACCCATTCCCACGTCACCTCCTTCCGAGTCCCTTCTCTCTCCTCCGGGCTGTGCCAAGAAGCAGAGACCCAGCAGGGGACCTAGGAACACAACATGGGCCGAAGACTTGGCCCATGCACAACTCCAAGCCCTACCTTGTCCAGCATGGTCTCCTGAACAGCTGCCACCTCACCTCTGAAGGAAAGGCTACAGCATCCATAGCCAACCTGTCACTTTGACAGAGAAAGAGCTGTGGAGAGATTCCCTGGGAGCCTTCCTCCTAGGAGGAAGCTTGTGGCCCTTCTCTCTGTTACCCCAAAACACTCCAGGTGGTCTATTCCTGCTGGTCTCCCAGTTCCCGTTCACAGTCATCTGGGAGCGCCTACAGATTCCAGGTTCAAAGACTCCCAAGAAGTAGAGGGTTGTGGAGGGGCTCTGAGGACGTCACTATAATTTCCAAATGCCCTCTTCCTTGTTTTGAAGAATTTTCACTTTTCTCAGCATGGCAGGCAGGGCAGATCAAGAGGACTTTGAACCCAGGGGCACCCGGTGGAATAAAAGGTCGCTGTAAAATGGGGTCTCACCACAGACTCCTCACCCTCTCTCTGGGGTGGCCTATGTAAGTGCAAGCCAATGCTCACCCAACTTTACCACATTAAGAGTTAGGGAGAAGGCAGAGTGGGAGCCAGAACTAGGAGACCCTGGAACTTGAAGCTCTGTGGAAGAGGTGGGGGAATTCCAGAGCTTCCCATTCCTGGGAATGTCTGCTCAGGAGGCGCTACAAAGGGTCCACAGCAAGACACTAGCAGCCTGGACTGTGGGCGCAGCCTCCTCTAGCACCAGCTACCCTCTCTGCTCCTCAGTGGAGTAGTGTCCCCTCTGAGGCCCTCAGAGGCGCTCAGGCCCTCGGCTGGCTGCGGGAGGCCCACCCTGCCTTCTCACAGGGAACTTTGAAGAACCGCAACTCCAGCCTCTGCCCTCACAAAGGCCCCCTCTGTCACAGTCTTGCTGAGAACAGGCCCCCACAAGGCACCCCCACTCTCCCTCCACCCCCACACATGTGCTTCCTACAGGAACAGATTCTAAGCAGAGTTAATGTCAGATACCGTCTCCCGACAGCGTGCCGGAACAAAGGCTGCTCATAACTAACTGTGCTGGGGTGCTTGTCAGGGCTTAGGCAAACGTAATTATAGGGAGAGGCAAAGCCGCTCTCAGCAGCCACACCTGGCCATACAGTAGACAGCACTTCTTCCTGTCGAGATGGGGGAGCCGAGAGACAGGGAGGCGACAAACCACAATTTGAATCATTTGGGGAGAAGCTATAAATATAATAATGAGTCATTTGTAAAATATAATTTCATCCAAAAGCCTAGAAAAAAAATAGGAAAGACGTCCCTGTGCTATTTCAGGCTAAATTGTTCAAGAGTGTTCTGCCAGAACCTGGGGAGGGGACCCAGATGCCCACCAAAAGCCAGGCTGGGACTCACATATGGGCGTCCTCAAGCTTGCCCCCTGCCAGGGTGCTGCTGGGGACCATGCCTAGGCTGACGCTGCAAGGCTGGTACTGCAGAATGCACAACTTGGAGAACCGATAAGACTCATGGACAGGCCAGCCTGTCATCCAGGCCATGAAGCCGGACACAGGTCTAGAACAGACATGCTGTTGTTTTGGCTAACTCTTCCCCAGCCTTGGGTTCCTAATAGCCTTTCCCTTACAGAGTGATATTTTTTAAGCTAGTGTGGCCCATTCCAGTTGCTGGGGACAGTGCATATTAAAACTCTTCTCAGGGCAAGAGGTCAATAGGTTTGGCCAGGTCATCACTGTCATGCCACACAGTTGTGAAAGAGCGTGCACAATTACGGAAAGGAAGCCTAATAAATCTGTGTGATCTTAAATCACTTGGAGGGCTAAAGACGTGGCTCAGTCACCTGAGACACTTGCTGCTTTTGCAGAGGCCCCAGCTCGATTCCCAGCACCCACCTGATGTGTATCATGACCGCCAGCTAGCTCCAGGGGATCTGACACTTGCACTCACGTGCACACCCACGTGCAGGCACACACACCTACGTATAATTTAAAATGACAAAAATAAAATTTTAAAAACTGTTACTATCGTCTGGCACGCACCTTCAATCCCAGCACTTAGGAAGCAGAGGCAGGCTGATCTCTGTAAGTTCGAAGCCAGCCTGGTCTACAAAAATGAGTTCCAGGACAACCAGGCTACACAGAGAAAACCTGTCTCAAAAGCCAAAACAAAACAAATATTATTTTCGTAACAGACTTTTATTGAAAGAACCTCTTGTGGTTCTGTTGGTGGTGTTGTTCTGTTTTGTTTCTTAACGACTGAAGGTGGAAGCATAAGAAGTTTGGACACTTGACTGACAGCTGCCAGACTATCCCATACCCAGCAGCCAGGGCAGCTGCTGCAGCTGGGAAGAAACAGAGGCCAACTGGCCACGGTTACCCTCAAAGTTCCCAAGTCCCAAGAGACTGTGACTGATACTGTTGCCATCCTTGAAAAATCCCCTGGGGTGACGGCAGCTGCCGCTCTTAACACCTTCCTTTTCACAGAGAACAGGTCAAGCAGCCGGTTCTTTGAGCTGTCGTCTTGAGCGCTGAGGCTGTTTCAGCCATCCCAGGACCGATCACAGAGTCTGGAATCTAGTCCCAGAGGCTGGAGAGTCTTCAGACTAGGAGCCACTGTCTCCAGCAGCAGATTTTGCTTCAGGAGACTTTGCCCAGGACAGCTTCAAATGACACCAAAGACTATCCCAGCTGCACCCACTCAGATGACCCCACCCACGGCCCTTCCAGCCCTCTGCATAACAACCCTCAGTCTAGACAGGAAGGAACAGCCTCTCAGCCCCCATGGCGGCTATGGATACATGACTGGGTTTCCAAGCAGAGAGCCCCACACTGGCCTCCCCGGGGCTAACACCCCACAGTTCTTTCATTGCTCATTGCCTGCTATGGTCACCCCAAAAGAAGGCAACTCCCCAGACTACCAGCCCCAGCACATCCAGCAGCAGCTAGAGGAGACTAAAGAGTCTCCAAACCCGCTGGATGCAGACACTATGCAGGTAAAGGGCTGTGAAGGCAGAGGGGAAGCACTCAGGTCCCAGCTCTGGAGCGTTGCTTTGAGTTGTCCAGCCGCTGGCACAGCTGGAAACACGATGACCCAAAAGCAAGTTGGAGAGGGCAGGGTTTGTTTGGCTTACACTTCGACATCACTGCCCATCACTGAAGGAAGTCAGGACAGGAACTCAAACAGGGCAGGATCCTGGAGGCAGGAGCTGATGCAGAGGCCAGGGAGGGGTGCGGCTTACTGGCTTGCTCAACCTGCTCTCTTACAGAACCCACAACCACCACCCAGGGATGGCGCCACCCACAGTGGACTGGACCCTCCCCCACCGCTGATCCCACCTATTGAGAAAAGGCCTTACAGCTGGATCTCATAGAGGCCTTTCCTCAACGGAGGCTCCTTCTTCTCTGACGACCGCGGCTTGTGTCGAGCAGACACACAAAACCAGCCAGTACAGCCGCAAAGAGTGGCTAACGGTGCTGTAGGCCTCTGGGTTGAAGGCGGTGGTTAGCTTTACCACACAAGCTCAGAGCTACTGATACGAAGGGTACACCTTACCTGCTTTTGGTTTCTATCCAGAACAAGCCAGAGAACCCTCAGCTGACCGGTGGCGTTGGCACCGAGGAGCATCATAAAGGAAGGCACATAATGGTCAGTACTGGGTGGGCACGGATAACCCAGAAGCCAAGTTCCCTGGCTTGCTCTATGGCCCCTGAGCAAACTTCCCTTCCTCCCTCCTGCTTTGCCTATAGGCTGAGGGAGCAGTATTCCACCTGCTCTTCAAGAGGCCAAGCCAATCAGAACTTCCCATTATCCAGCCAGACCTAGGTGAAGCTGCAGCCAGGCCTCCTGTACCCTGCAGTGGGCCTCCTGCTCTCTTGAGTGGGATAGCCTTATTTTCCCCAAGAAATATTTAATGTCATGAAATATCTATCCGTGTTCACGCTTTCTAAATGTCCCCAATTTCCCCCTTTTTAAATAGTTTACTCTCATTATTTTTAATCACTTGTATGTGTGTGGCCGCATGCAGGTCTGTGCACAGGAGTACAGCTGCCCAAGGAGGGAGAGCTGGGAGATCTTCAGCCATGGAGCTGAAGTCGCAAGTGGTTGTGAGTCGCTCACCGTGGGCGCTGGGATCCAAACCCTGGTGCCCTGCAAAAGCGGTAAGGGCTCTTCACCACTGTGGGAGCAATCTCTCAAGACCCGAATTTCCCCCATTTTTAATATGCTGCTACAGGGTCAGGTGTTCATGTTTGGTTTCAGCTGGTGGCATGTGTACGTGTGTGCATTGAGTGTGTGTGTGTGTTGTGTAGTGGAGTACGGGGTATGTGTGTGCAGAGATCAGGAGAGGATGTGGACGTCCCTCTCCATTACTCTCTCCCTTATTGAATTGAGACAGGGTCTCTCACGCAACTCAGAGCTGGGCTGGCAGCTGGCAACCCCTGGTGACCCTCCTACATCTGATACACACACCTCCCTCACACACAGATGCTGGGGTTACAGGTGAGCACACCTCCTCCCCACACAGTTATTGGGGTTACAGGTGAGTGCAGGCATAGCTGGGTTTGTGTGTGTGTGTGTGTGTGCGTATTTTAGGGATTTGAACTCATGTCCTTAGACTTCTGCAGGAAGCCCTCTTAAACACCGAGTCATCTCTCCAGCCCATCTTTTGGATTTTTGAGCCAGGATCTCCTGAACTCAGGAAGACTTTGAGCCGCTGGTTCTCCTGCCTCTACCTTCCAAGCGCTGGGATTGCTGGAGTATGCCACCACACCTGGTTTAGTGTTTATGTTTGAATTAAAAATCTAAACAAAATCTATACGTTGGAACACTAAAGGAAAGACATCTCTTGTAGTTTCCCCCCCCTCCCCCCAGTCTCCCTCTCTCGTGTGGCTCTCACCTCTAACATTCTGGCACTCTGGTGACTGATGCAGGAGGATCAAGGATTATCATGAGTTCCAGACTGGCCAAGGATACAAAGTGAGACCCTGCCAAAAAGCAGAGAAAGGGCTGAAGAAAGCTCCTCCACCTCCCACTTCCTTCCTCCCTCTCTCCACTTCTCCATGCACTTTATTAGGAAAAACACTACAGTCGTTTATTGTGGAAATTGCTACCCTGAGTTATATTTCCCTGCCCCCATTTGAGGTGCTTATCTGCAAAGAATCAGAACTTCCCTCCGCTCCTGGAGTTGGATGAGGAAGTTTGAGTGCACGTGATTGTTCCTTGATCCCAGCTGGGGTCAGGTGACAGTCCCTACTGGGGACAGGTGAAGGTGGAGTGCACGTGATCAGTCCTTGACCCCTACTGGGGTCAGGTGAGAGTCCCTTCACAGTCCCCTCCCCATTTGGTGCCGTGGTATAAAAGCTAGCCCCAGCAAAACAATAAACGAGCTGCTGTTTCACCTCAACCTCGTGCTCTGTGGATTTCATTCAACCTGGACACCCTCCGCCGAGACTTGTGGTTCCAGACCATGCTGGCGCGGTAGTTTATCCTTCGAATAGAGTTCCCCGAGTCTGGATTCGAACGTTTTAAAACATGGTTGTTATCAAACAAGAGTCTCTGTTCCTTTTGTGTCCTGGAGATTGACAGTTAGCCAGGGCCAGATTCGGACTCTTTACTTACATTCTGTTGATTCGTTTTGCGTTTATATGTGTGCCATTGGCAGACAGAGGACAACTTGCAGGAGCCATGTGGGCCATGGGGATGGAACTCAGGTGCCTAGGCTCGTCAGCCAGTGTTTTTAACCTGCTGAGCCATCTTGCTGGTCCCAGATTCAGACTTATTATTGGCGTCTCCTCGTGATCTTTTTTTATTTTCTAATATTACTTTATGTATGGCATGTCTACAATGGTAAATGAAATCCTTTTGTCTCTTTTGTCATATTATCAGTCATTATTAGTCATTATCTGCCCTAGATCTATTATGATAGTTCATCAATTCTTCTTTATCGATTAGATGGAATTCTCATAAATGTACTCTTTATTACTTAGTATAGATACAGATTTTTTTTTCCAGTGCTGGGGTTGAACCTAGGGCTTCACATCTGCTAAGCAGACAAGCATCCTACCAGAAGCCTGTATCTCTAGCACTTTTCACTTCTTTTTATTTTGACATAGGGGCTTGCTGAGGCTGGCCTAGAACTCACTCTGTAACCCAGGCAGGTCTTCCTTGCCTCTGCCTCCCGAGTAGCTGGAGATTACAGGTCTGAGCTACCAAGTTCCCAGCACCCTGGCTTCTGCCACGCACGGTTGTCCTTCTAGAAGATTCCTGAGCAGTGCTGATAGCGCAGGTTTGTGAGCAAGGAATTCCTTCATACTTCGTGTGCCTGGAAAAGATTTGCCCTGAGTCTGATTTTTTTATTTGCTTTTCTTTAAGTAAAGAGTTCCCTTAGATTATCTTGGGCTGGCCATGAACATACAATCCTCCTGCCTCAGCCTCACAAATGTTGAGATTATAGGCACACGCCATCCTGCCAGGTCTGAAAATCCTTTGATTTTACCTTCTGTTAGCATTGAATATAGAACTCTAGGATGGCAGATTTTTCTTCTTGTACTTTAAGTACGCTGTTCCATTGTCTTCTGGCTTTTGTTATCTTAAAAAATAAATTCCTGTTACTCCTAAGGGGTCCTTTTTCCTCTGGCTGCTTTTTATTATTGTTGTTATTTTAAGAGGCAAAGTCTCTAACTTGGACCAAACCTAAATTCTCTCTCTCCCTTTCTCTCTCTCTCTCCTTTTCTCTCTTTCCCCTTCTCTCTCTCCCCTCTCCCCACCTTTCTCTCTGGATGACCTTGACTTGAACTTCTTAGCCTCCCGCCTCCATTTCCTACCTCTGCTTCCCAAGTTCTGGAATCGCAGGCCTGTGCTACCATTTCCAGCTCATCGGGCTTCTTCCCTTCCCTGTGTGTCTGGTTTTCCAGCATTTAGGTCCATACTACAGTCCTGTATATGCAGAGCAAGCCTCCCCCACTGGGCTGCAGCCCCAGCCTTACATTCCATTTTGAGAAGTCTCTATGACTACAACTTCAAGTTCATTCATTTATCCTTCTGCCATTCATCTCATCCAGTGGATTTTTTTTAATTTCCCATTATGTTTTCATATCTAGAAGCTTGATCGAGATCCTTCCTGTGTTCTTATTCATTTATTTAATATGTTTAACACTTTCCTTTCCTGAGCATATAATAACAACTTTTAATGTCTTTGTCTATTAATATCTTTCTTCTGATCTCTATGTCATTCCTGGGTGTTTTTATTGATTGATTTCTTATTGTGGGTCACATTTTCCCCAGCTATTTTTATTACTAATAATTTTTTTGTGGGGAGTGGGGTTTGAGACAGGGTTTCTCTGTGTAGCCCAGGCTGTCCTGGAACTCATTTGGTAGACCAGGCTGGCCTTGAGCTCACAGAGATTCGTCTGCTTCTGCCTCCTGAGTGCTGGGATTAAAGACGTATGTCACCATGTCCGGCTCTTTTTAAATTTTTACGTGTATATGTGTTTTGACTGAATACATTAGTGTATCACATGTGTGCCTGGTGCCCAGGTGAGCATTGGCTCTCCTGGAACTGGAGTAACAGAGGGTTGTGTACATCTCTGTGAATGCTGGGAATCGAACTAGGGTCTTCTGGAAGAGCAACAAGTGTTCTTAACTGCTGAGCCATCTCTCCAGCCCCCATCGAACTATTCTGGAATAAATTGTGCGCCAGAGTTCAGTTATCTGGAAATGGTTTGAATTTTTCAAATCTTTCTCATGCTTTGCTGTTTGGAATGATATCTACTGGTCTAAGGGTAATTTTGTCCTCAACTGCACCCCCCCGGGTATTCTGACACCGTGATTTACGAGGTAGGAACACACTCGATTTCTTGTCTGTTGTAAGCACCAGGGACTGGGTCCTCTTCCCGCTGTCTCACATCCAGGCTCTGGTCAGCCTCGGTGGAAGACTCAGAGGGACCCTCTGCAGACTGCTGACCCCCCCCCCATCTCCTTCCCCTCCACAGCTCTCCTCTTCGGTTCCCTCCCTCCAAACTTCAGCTGCCTCAGCCTCCCTGGTCCCTGGTCATCTTGATCCATTTCCTCGACTCAGAGAGACTCTTGGACTCTGCCCATCTGCCCCCTGTTTGGGTTGTGTCCTGAAACTATCTGAAGGCAGCAAGAGGGTGCCATCATGAGACCTACATCCTGCTAGGTGGGTCACTCTTGTCTCAGCTCCACCCATCCTCCATCAGAGTCCTTGGAATTGTCAGCTTTAGGTTAAAGTCACATTCTCAGGAGAACTCTGGACTACTCCTGAAGGTGAAGTGACCAGACACACTGCATCGTACATTTTCTGTATCTGTATCGTGTTTTGTTTGGTTGTTGTTTTGTTTATTGAGGCCGGGTGGTAATTTGGATGTAATCAGATCCCATAAAACTCATTGGGCGTGGCACTACTGAAAGGTGTGGCCTTGTTGAAGTGGGTGTGGCCTCGTTGAAGTGGGTGTGGCCTCGTTGGAGTAGGTGTGGCCTCGTTGAAGTAGGTGTGGCCTTGTTGAAGTAGGAAGTGTGTCACTGTGGGGCAGGCTTTGAGGTCTCCATTGCTCAAGCTTAGCTCACAGACACTTCCTGTTGCCTTCTGCTCCAGATCCAACACCACATCTGTCTGTACCACGGCTGCCTGCACCACATCTGCCTATACGCCGCCATGCCTGCACCACGTCTGCCTACACGCCTCCATGCCTGCACCACGTCTGCTTACACGCCGCCATACCTGCACCACGGCTGCTTACCCGCCCCCATGCTCCCCACCATGATGATAATGGACTGAACCTCCGAAATGTTTTCCTTTATAAGATTTGCCGTGGTCATGGTGTCTCTTCACAGCAACAGAAACCCTAAGACAGACCATGTCTCATGCTACAGTTGAGGACTGGCCTGGAAACCCTGGAAATGCTCCTTTCTCTGCCTCCAAAGTGCTGGGACTGCAGGTGTGAACAGCTGTTCCCTGCTTATTGTGTACAACTTTTTAATCGCTTGAGGATAGAGGGTGAATTCCATTTCTGTTAATCCATCGTAGGCAGAAACAGAAATTGGCTGAGTAATACCTTCTTAAATATGTCTGTTCAGCTGAGGGTCCTGTTTTTAGGAGATTCCCCTGTAGCCACCACCAACTCTGCCACCACCCCAGACT